AACATTGTCCAAACTCAACATCTCTAGTTTTCTCTTCCTCACATCCTATATCTCAGTCAACGACGGTACCATGTATCTTGTTGCGTAAACTTTCAAACCATAAGTTCAGAATCCAAGTCCATGAATGTAAGGTCATCCGAATTGAAATTAAGATCTTCTTGTCGGCCTGGTTTCAGAAAATCAAATCCATAGTCAAATGTCATAGGTGCCTCCTGCCCCATTTCATGTGGATCTCCCAGCGGCTGACATGGCGAATTTGATACCTAATTGTTGTCGTAGGCATATTGCTTTCCATCTGAACCGAAGTCATTGGTGGAAACTGGAGTAGAATCTAACATAGCCAATAGCTCATCTACATCAAACATCTCATCCAAATTTAAGTTATCTAGACAATCCCATCCAGACTTGAGCGTATGTTGATCAATACTTGTAGGTTCCTCTTTAGCTTCAACAATTTCCATCTCACCAGGCAACCCCGCGGTCTCGTCCTTTCCTTCGTCTTTCACTGAACTCAATGGTGTGCCAGCTGCAGTTGTTACACCTTCACCTTGACATACCTCGCCGAAACCACCGGAAGCAACCGTACAATCAGATGCAAATGTAGTAGCCCAGGAAGCAGAAGCAGAAGCAGAATCAGAATCATCCCTAGAAGGGTAATTCGTCAAATTCAGCCTTGCACAAGCTCTTGCAGCTTCATCATATGCTAGAGCAGCTTCAATTGATATACCAAATGTACCCATCCATAGCCTACTACCTCTTTTAGGTTCCCTAATCTCAGCAACCTATTTACCCCATATCCTCTGTCTAACACCTCTGTATTTACACCGCGAATTTTCGGGTCCCCATTTACCTCTCATACACCCTTTAGTAGGAACTTTACGCACTGGCTTCCCTTCATCATCAACACTATCTAGTTTCTTATTATACTCTTTCCATTTAGCTAGTCTCTCTTCCATTCTTTGTTCTGTCCCTTCTACTCCTTGATTTCCTCTTTCGACTATTATAATCCAACGGCAGAGAAGCCATATTAGCAGCTTCATCCATTTCTGTAAGAAGGCAAAACATTCATTACATACAAAACTATGCATGCCACAAATATACAATCCTAAAAAATACTCATCATTAAGAGCAATGTAAACGGAAACACAAGACTCTAAATTTTCTCAAACTAACAAGTGTGGAATAAAAAATCAAGAAAAGAGAAAAAACAAGCAAGAAAAGAAAGACTGATCTAACCAAACTAATCACATATAGATGAATTGAATGAATGAGATTAGGCTACATACCTTTTTTCTTCTGTGTTTTTTTATAAATGAATTGATCAAATTGGTGAGTTCTTCAGGAAGTTGTTTTTTTTTTCTCTGATAAAAGCTTTGTAGAGAATGATGAGAATCAGAAATCTGTTTGTAACAGAGCTACTTGAGTATTTATAGCCCTCTCTAGATATTTCTAGTTTATCTACTCACTCCTTACCTTATACTCTCCGTCCCATTTTATATGATTTTGTTTCACTTCCTCCATCTATATTATATGACTTAGTTTGACTCGACAGAACATTTATGAACTTTTTTAAAAAAAAATCAGATCAAAAATAAAATAAGTGATAGACATTTTTAATGTAAACCATATAAACTGGACAGAGGGAGTCTATTTATTTAAAAATCTCTCAATATGGTGACGTGGCAATTATTTAATTGAGTCGTGGTTGTTGGGATGCCGCGGGATTCAGCACGTGTCACCTGAACCTTCGCGAACCACTCGTTCTATACTTTTTGTAAATTTCCTATTTTGACCTCTCAGGATATTTATTATACCTCAATAGTCAGCTTAATTACCTTTATACCCCTCGGTTAGCGATTGGTCTAAATTATTTATTAGGGAACAAAATAACGGAGCCAATAGTTTTGCAAGTTGCAAGTAGATACTTATGATTTGGTAAATCATATGGATCAAAAAGTTGGCACATCTTACTAAAACACCACATTATAATTTGACAAACTAGAATTCACACTGAACCTCATTCGAAAAAAATATTTCATATCATTAATTTTTTCATATTTAAACAAAATCTATGATACTCTAATTGCTGAGACTAGTTTATGTCTACCCAATCAATCTATACAAAATTCAAAGAGATTCACAAACTTTAGGCATGTTTGATGGTAAAAGATGGTAAATCTCATCTATCCATATTAATACGCCTTTTGATGTGCTTTGGAATCTCAGCAGAAGAGTTAATAAACACATGGGTTCCTACAATACCAGTGACCTATGTTTGCTAATCTATCAGCAGTTAATTGGTTTCTCTAAAGCTATGATTGATCTATGTAAAGGAGTTAAATAAATGTTGACAAGTACCTTGATAACATTAGCTATAATTGTGTTATATTATAATTGTGTTGTGAATAGTGCAAGCAAAGTTTGTTATAGTTAGTTAAGGTGTCAGTGAATTAGTTATAGTTAGTTATAACTAACTAAGCCGGTTAGATCTGAGCAAACACATTGTATTTATGTGCCAATGCATTACACATTGGAATTCAATTCAATGAAACTAATTCTCTCTATGATCTTCTGGATCCTTCTTTTCTTCATAGTTAGTTCAATTTCACCAAGTTTCATTCTAGACTTCAAAAACTTAACATGATATCAGAGTTAGGTTCCATATCACCCAATGTTGGGGGGAGGGGGCAAAATCAAAATCGCTCACGCACCAAATGCTAAGCACTAGGAGTGAGTTGGGGTGTTAAAGAATTACAAAAGTCCATATTGGTGGTTAATGAGATGGGTGAACTCCTTATAAGGTTTGGACAATCCTCCTCCCTTTGAGCTAACTTTTGGGGTGTAAGTTAGCACCAAGACCTAATTTAACATAGTATCAGAGCCATTAGAGCTTGCATTTGAAGAATTATTGCACAAGCAGTGAATAATTTCATTGTTTCTTAGCTTCATTTTGTGAATTTGCAGTTGTTTTTTCCTTGTTTTACTTTGTTTTCTTTGATTTCATGGACACTCCTGGAGTTATTGTTGGGAAATTAGGAAATTCCATAGACATTACTACTATTGATCACCTTCATCCAATGTGTTTGTACCCATCAGATGCGCCAGGATCACTCAATGTTGGCATTTTGCTCACGTAATCCTGTATGTTTACATCATCAAGTTCAGTTGCCCACATGTGATTCTACTAAGGTTTCACATATTGGAGACTGCCACATAAGAGGATGTGATATTCTTAGAAACGCTCTCTGTGTACTAGCAATCTAGCATTCAAGTTCAATCTCATGTTAGTCTCACAAGTGACAAAAGACTTGAACTGTTGTGTCACTTTTCTTTTCAAAATGTTGTGTTTTTCAGGATCTATCATTTGGGAAGGTGAGGGTGATTGGTGAAGAAGAGGATGGTCATAAAGAGGAATTTTCGCATGTAGCCACTAAAAAATAGCCTAATTACGCTTCATAGTTATAGTTTGTTAATTACGTAGCTACATGTTATAGGGAGGAGAGTGGCGAGCGAGACTGGGAGAGGGAGGAGAGAGGCGAGCGAGAAAGGGTAGAGAGTGGGAGATAGGTGAATTGTATATGCATATCGGTTAGATAATTGTATATTATACATATGTATTTGTATATTCTGGCGAGCGAGATTGGGAGAGGGAAGAGAGAGGCGAGCGAGAGAGGACAATAATTTATATAATTCGCAGGTATGTTTGTATAATTCACGTGTTTTTGTATAATTGAGTAATATAAAGTCTGAAATTATACAAAAATGATAAAACTCGAAATAACGAATTGATACAAACATAAACATATGAAATTTAAACAATTATATAAAATATATTATACAAATTACATTATATAAATTATATTATACAAAATACGAAAACTATATGTTTATACAAACTTTAAAAAGTTATACACAAAAAGATTGAATGTATATGATGACAAAACTGAAAAATCAAAGGAAATCATCGTCATATACAAATACAAACCATCGTATATAAATACAAATCAAACAAAGAATTGTTAGTTGTGAATTATACATATACTAACGTGGCTAATTATACAAACTCGAAGTCAACCTATGTAATTAATGATTAATGTTAGTCGCGAGTGGTAATTATAGCAAACTATAGCTATAATGAGTAATTAAGTAGTACAAGTTTGCTTAACCACGTAATTTTCCCTAAAATGAATAAGAGCCCGTTTGGATTGGCTTAAAAAAGTAACTTTTAAATCAAAAATAAAAAGTCAAACTGAAATGACTTTTAAGTCAAAAAATAAAAAGTAGGAGGAGACCTACTTTTTTGTTTCTGACTTATTTTAAGTCATTTTTAACTTATTATTAGTCATTTTTTACCTTGCCAAACGCTTTCTAACTTATTTTAAGTCATTTCTTTACTTATTTTAAGTTATTTTTTTTATATTTGCCAAACACAAGTCAAAAACTGACTTAAAAGTAAGTTTGACCAATTTTTAAGCCAATTCAAACGGAAAGTAAGTCACTTATATTACAATAAGTAATCATTCGTCACTTTTATCTTTCAAGATTAGACATGTTCATCCTTCTTCTTCATCGTCTCTTCATCTTCTTCTTCCTCTTTTTTTTTTTCTAAAAAAATAAATTTTGACATACCGCAAAGGTGATTTTGAATTGATCAAGATTGAATAATCAATGTATACTTCATGTATATCTAAGTTATATTCAGCTTTTTAATTGTATCATATTGTATAGTCTGTGTATAGCTCATGTATGGATAAGTTATAGCCTATATTATATAGTCAATGTATATCTCTTATGTCTTTTGGCTATTTTTTATGTAAATAATATATGGCTACAAATATTGTAAACTAATTTTTTTTATTGTACATATTTGAAACTAGCCCTTAGTTCAAAGGATCGTAGTTGAAGCCCAGTACTGAAGCACTGTAATATTGTTACCGCAAATTCTTAATATAATAGAAAATTTGTAGCAAATTATTAGACAAAGTGAAAAATTATTCTGAAATCAAATCATCTCTATTAATTGTTGGACTTGAAAGAATACAGTATATATATCTGCAACATCTAGATGGTGCCTTGACTTGCAAGTGTTGGCACCATCTTAACTCAATAAAAAATTGAGAGACTATTAATTAAGCAAAAGAAAAAGACAATATAATTGATATAAACTAAAATATTCAAAATGATTTCTGTAGTGTTGTGGATAGCAGGTGTTAACAAACAGGAAGGTCAACTGGAGGCTCCTCTACTGCTTCTAATTCAGTAACTCCATTTTCCACAAGGAATGCCATGGCCAAACCCCAAGTAATGTGCACATCCAAGTGACAGTGCATTAGCCAAATTCCTGTTTGTCATAACAAAAAATGTTAGTCCAAAAGTTTGAATTATTGTAACATGTCCCATTTTATATGAGTTAGTTTGATTTGACACGGAGTTTAAGAAAGAAACAAAGGAAAGTGAATCATATAATCTGGGATAGAGGGAGTACTTATTTTCTATCTTCTTACCTGGATTATCAGCTACAAATCTTATGACGGACCATCCATTGACTGGTACACTTGCAGTATTACGAAGAGGTGGATCAATAAGGTTAAATTTAGAAGTATCTGTTTGTGGATTGAAGTTTCCAAATCCCTCAGCAAGAATGTAAAAATCGTATCCGTGAAGATGAATTGGATGGTTTTCAGCTGTGACGATACTAGTCCCCTGTAACACAAGCTGCACTCTCGCGCCATAACTTAACTTGTATACTTTAGTTGCGGAAATAGGTTGCCAGAGTGACCTGCTAACATTACCAGTGTAATCAAATTTAACGGGTGGGCTTGATGGGAAATCTGTTGAGAAAACTCCAGGTATTCCCTGGTGATGTGCTTGCAGTAAGGAGAAATTGGATGGTAGCACAAATGATACATTGTTCATACTGGCAGTGAACCGCGTTCCATTTGGACCTTGACAGCTGCTGGAACTTGCCCCTGCAGGGCAATTGTTGAGTCCCAATCCAACTGTGAAGAATAGATCTTCATCGATTTCAGTTGGCACTTGGACTTTTCTTGCACTTCTGAAGCTACTGGTAAAGGCAGTGGCGGTGGCTGTGTCATTAAATGCTGGTAGAGATGGGAAAGCGGGGTTTATCTTGACACCCTTAGCAGGGCAAGGAGCAGCCTTGTACTCTAAGATGGCTGTGGTTGTGGTGTTGTCAAAGGGTGCTCCTTGTGCACTTGCGTAGGCACGTGCAGCCATGTAGTATCTGGCAGGCGGTTGATTAGCAGTTATGAGGACATCAGTAGTCTGGCCTGGTCCTAGCATAAGGACTGATGTCGTGAATGGTTTAACATAAGATGCATCTGCTCCAACAACAGTGAACTTGTGGTTTGCCACTGAGAAGAAAAGTTGTTGGTTGAGTCCAGAGTTGATGACTCGAAGGAGGTTCGTCTCACCTGAGTCCACATGGACTATGGTAGTATCTGCACAAGGATTTTAAGTTATATGCATCGGAAACTATTTTTACATCAGTCACATTTTAATGTACTGTTTTAAATGCATTGTGGATTGACAGTTACCTTGATTAGAACACTTGTAAAGATCACCCGGTTGACCATTGATGGTGTAAGCATCTGATGCATTAGGTGCTGCTCCCGTTCGTGTGGCTTGTCTAATAACATCAATGGGGTTTGCATCCCACCACTCACCTAAACAACATGCCCAAATTAAGTACTATTTCAGAAAAAGCTTGTAAAGTAAACAAAAAATGTGCAAAAATCGAACTGAATGTAACGAAAGAAGGAATTAGTACCAAGCAGAATGGGTGTTTGTCTCTTGGGCTTAGGGAATGGATAAGCAGTTCCTTCTTTTGGGTGGATAACTAAGGCTCCATAAACAGTGGCCCTGAGCCACGAGCTATGGGCGTGCCACCAAAGTGTCCCTTCTTGTCCTTGAATAGTAAATCGATAAGTGTAACTCCCTCCTGGTCTAATCGGACACTGAGTGATGAATTCTGGTCCATCTGCCCATGCCGTTCTCATTTGCCTCACCCCGTGCCTTTAAACAACATAAAGTATATTAGAAACAAGGGCGAAAACACGGAAATATCATCACATCATGATGTTCAACATAAAGTATATTTGAGTTGTGCATGCATGAACTTACCAATGAATGGTGACATTATATTGAGCTCTATTGACAACCTTTACCACTAGAGTATCTCCATTGTTCACTTCCAAAGTTGGTCCAGGAAATTGCCCATTCACGGTTATAGTACTATGCGTATTGCACAGCCTCTTCACCGGCGTTGCTTGAATCTGTACTTCCAAAAAAAAATAGAGGTCAGACTATAGATCCTAGTTTTAAATATTAGAAAAAACAAAGACACACTTGGATAACATACAACAAAGTCATGGTAGTGAATTTTGGCTTTTGCTAAAGAAGCAGCATTAGCAAAAAGAAGCAAAATGGCATAGAATAACAAAGAGCTCATGTTGAAGGCTAATTTTGACTTAAACTCTGTTTATGTTTGGTTGTGAAAAATTAGAGAGTTGAGGCTTTAGTTAAATAGGAGAAGAAGAAGAGAGAGAGGGTGGTTTAATGGTTGGCAGATTAGGTTTTGATTAAGCAACAAGGTCAGTTTATGGGGCAAAACTTAGTTCAACATTGTAGAAAGAGTTGGTGCACCCAATTCATTTGCCCATCAAACTCCAGAAATTTTCATCAAATGCTTGTTTTCTAAAGTTTCTCTTTTGAGCATAATATGTTCTCACATTTCAAACTAACAGAAGTATGTTTTGTTTTTGTTAATTTTTTCATCAAATGCTTGCTAATTAAAGTTTCGTATCATGTTTGTTTTGATTGTTAATTACTTAAATTTTATTGTATCGTATCGTTTAAATCCAGCATTAGTTAATGACAAAAAGTCTCATTTTGTGTAACGATCAATCAGGTGTGATCGTGTCATTACCTTAATATTTTCTTCTCATTTTGTCTTTACTTATTATTTAATAATCTTATTTTTGTGGTAGATTTATTATTCCAATTGTTGATGTGTGACAATTTATAAACAATACAATCCATTGAAACATTGTATTAATTAAAAAAATATACTAACACAATACAATATATTATAAAACAATATGTAATATTCCTTTTTTTTAAAACAGAAGTATGATTATTTTTTTGTCAATTTTTTAATCAAATTGTAATTACTTGTTATGATTACATACCGCGTGAATTGCACGGATTATATAGAAAATCTTCTTCCCTTTGTTAATAGTGTGAAGCCAAAACGGGTCAAACCAAGATAGTTTAGCCTAAAAAGGAAACAATTTACGTATACATCTACAAATCAATACAATAAAGTAAAATCTTGGAGGAATAGCTTGCTACTCCCCATACTCTAATTTACATGACATATTTTTCTTTTAATTAGTTCCAAAACAAAAATGTTATATTTCCATAATTATAAATAATTTAATTCTAAAATTATCATTTTCCCATGATTTATAGTTCGTATCTAAGATTTGTTTTAGAACGACAATTTAAAAAAAATATTTTTTCTTAAAATTTTATGTCAAATCAAATAGTGTCACATGAATTAAGACGGAGAAGTAAGCTAGAAATGGAATTTGCTCTTCTCCCTTTCTTATTGTCTCTATTTTCTCAACTTCTTACTAAGACGGTTGACATATGTCTCATTTTAAAATGAATGGTACAAATTATATTAACCAAATCAAGGATCTTAAGTCTTAACTATTGTTAATGTAATAGATATTTTGTTATGTTTCTCCCAAAAGATTTGGCAATCAACGAGTTTAGAAAATGAATTAATTAGAACTTTTATATGTAGAGTATGCTTTCAACTCCCTTAAATCTTTTTATCATTGAATTAAAACATTTCATGCTACTCAATTTACAAAACTTTTCTTATTAATTTTGTTTATTGGTATGTGTGATTGTTCCCAAAATATCATATGTTTAGTGATTTCAATTCAATTATTGTGAGTTGGCGAAGCAATCTACCAGTAATCATTTAAAATTTATTAAATATAAATTTATAAAATGATTTGAATTATATTAAATTCATAAATATATTAGTCCAAATAAATGTCATGGATTAATATAATTGGGCTAATTATTTAAGTCCAATAAATATGAATTTAATTGATTTGGGCTACAATAGATGAGCCCAATTTGTTAAGCCCAAATTCATCTTATCCTAGAGGCCCCATTTTGGTGCCACGTGGGCAAATGACGTGGCATGCCAAGTCAAGCAAGAAGCCAATAGGATCATGACATGTGTCAAAGATGACAAACCCGCTCCATAAAGCCCATATGTCATGTCACTTAAATTTGATTGGCCGAAGGAATCCTATTCCAATCGCAACTCCTCTATTCTAAAACTATAAATAGGGGTCCTCATAATTCAGAAAAGGGATAGAAAATTCTAAAACAAGAAGCTAGAGAAAATTCGTGGTACAAACACCATAAAATTCTATATAAAGCTACAAGTTTAAGAATTCAAGCATTCAAGTTCAAGAACGATCAAGACAAGACCATCAGATTCAAGAACAAGCTCGAAACCCTTGAATTCAAGCAAAAGTCAAGATCAAGCTTTAAAGCCCTTGAATTTATATTTGAAAAGACGAATTCAGAGGAATCATAGAGATTGTAACACTCGCACTTTGAAATAATAAATACGATTGTTGCTATAATTTTCCGTTCTTGATTATTATTTTCTCGACGCAAATTTTATTGTCTACAAATTCTTGCACGCCCAGTGGGACAATCTCTACCTCTCATCTCAACTTTTCAAGCATCAAACAACATCGAGATAACTTCCATGAAGAACAACTCTCGATCAACTGCCTCTAAGGCCACTAGCTCCAAGTTCTCTATTGAAGTTGAAGACATTTTTTATGTTACTTTTGGAAGTTTTGGAGCTGTTACGAGAAACAAAGCGGCTACACTAGGACAACAAACACTGCAAGTGTCGTCCGCATCAACTCCTATTTTTGGGTCTTCGACTCCAAAAAGAACAAGTTCCTCCATAAATGCTTTGGAAGGAGGAAGCAGTATTGTTGAAAAGATCAAGGAGACATTGGCTCTACTTGAGCAATCTGGTTCGAAAAATTCTACCACAAGGGAGAACTATGATTCAACTAATGAATCATCTCCACATGCATCGCGTAACGTGAGTTCGCTGAAGATTAACTTACGCGACAATCCATGCTACTCTCCTACATCTCCAATGATCATGCAAACGATGGTAACTGTTGCTTCCTCTCCTGAGGAACAACTCGCAAATCTGACAAAGTTGGTTGAAGGCTTGACAAAACATGTACAACACCGAAAATCTCGAATTGATAAGTTGATAGATAGGATAGAAAGACTTTTAGATGGAGAAGCGAGTCATGATCCTGGAAAGTGTGTTGAAGTTCAAGAGATTGGAGATACTGCGAAGAAAGCACCGCTTGTTAATGAGATGCCAATTTCTTCTGAAGGAATGATCCCACTTGATCGTTTGAAAGAGTTTTTTGAAGGCACTATCAAAGATAAGTATGAAGTCTCCACCAAGTCTTCTCACATGTATGCCAAGCCATACATTGTGAGAATTGATAATTTCAAAATGTCTGCTGGCTATCAACCTCCCAAATTTCAACAATTTGAGGGTAAAAGAAATCCAAAACAACATGTTGCACACTTTGTGGAGACATGTAATAATGCTGGAACTGTCACGACTCGATTTCTCAAATCATGATGGAACCTACTATGCCCTACCAGTAGGTAAGCCAACTTGTAACCCAGAACATCAAGCAATGAGCGAAAGGGAGAAACTAGCGAAAACAATAATCTAAACAAGGAACACAAGACGGAAGCAAACCAAAATAAATATATATATAAAAATCCCTCCCAGAACCTGGAAGTCACTAGTACAAAGCTATCTAATAAAGAGTACAAGTCCCAAAAGTGAACCACAACAAAGTGTGTCTCAAAGGCAACAAGACTAGCTAAAACGAAAGAAGGAGACAAGACAAACCCAAAACGCCAAGTGCTCGCCCTCGTCTCCTAATCACAGCTGCAAAAGAAGGCTGGAAGTACTCACCGCTGGTAACTGGTAACTGGTACTGGGACCTGCATCACGAAATAGATGTAGAGCGTAGCATGAGTACCAATACAACAGGTATTCAGTAGGCATCACAGGCCGACTGAGCAAAAAGGGTAAAAACAATAATAAAGGATAGAATCTAGACACAGAGAGGTCAAAGCGGATATGAAAAGAAAGCACACGAGCATACCAGAAACAAACTAAGTACAACTAAACTAAACCTAACTGGACCCCCATAAGCCTAGAAGGTATACTTGTGCGCAAGTTTAAGTAAAACCTGAACAAACCCCCATAAATCCGACAGGTACACAGAATAGCTAAGTCTACTGAGAAAGAAGGAAATCGGGCTCCCAGCCCAAAGTAACCAAGATAATCCATCAGACTCCACCCAACCCAGCTAGAAAGAGTGGACTTAGGGGACACCCAACCAAACAGTCCACTCCTAGCCTAACTAGAAAGATGGACCCGTGAGTGATGTAGATATCACAAGTCGTCCTCCCATGCAGTCAGCTCCCAGCCCAGCTAGAAAGAGCGACCAGGGGACACCTAGCCAACAGCACACTCCCAATCCAGCCAGAAAGAGAGGCTCGGGGGCGATCGCCGATATCACCAAGTCTACCCAGCCAGCGATATGCTCCCAGCCCAGCAAGAAAGAACGACCCCGGGGGTGATGGTATCTCCAATAGGATCCAATCCAACAACAACTACCGTGGAATGTCGTCCACTCTAAGAAATCACAAAAAAGGCTCCAAGCCTATACTATCTCAATCCCACACCTTTAGTGATGCACCAAACCTTCGAGAACGCGTCGAAACTAGAGGAAGAAGATACAGAAGTACACCAAGCAGCTATAATGCCTAATATAAGCCTCAAACTATCAGACTCAAGTCTACTACTCCAGTATACAAGGATCTAAGTCATCCGAACGACGTCGGCAGAAAGTCAAGGCTATCCAGCCCACTCGGGTCACAAGTCTAAGGCAATGCTAGCCTAACCTAGACTAAGGACATCATGCTTACGGTTAAGGATGAACAAGACATACAACACATAACATACAAGCATATAATATCATTTAGCACATAAGAATGCAACTCTACTAAATTGGTTAACATGATACTATACCCGAAATATGGTCAATCGATCATAACATGAGGTATCTAATCAAAGTAAGGTAGGTAACTGGTACCCACCCCCAATTCGCTCCAATCGACATGATTTTACACAATTAAGCTCAATCTAAAAGAAAGGAAGTCCTAGCCTACCTTAAGGCCGACCGCGCGCTCCAAATTACTTTACCGGAGCTTTTCCTTCCCCAACGACCCTTGAACGTTGTCACCTATCAAATATAGGATCACAACATTAATACGGTTGTTTAGACACCAAAATCACAACAA